TTTATGATTTCCATTTTTTTGCATTGTTTTTCTGTCCTTGTTTTTTGTTTGAATTTTAAGATCTATTTGTTTGTATTACACGCTGCATTTCATCAAAATGCCAATTTTCCAAGATAAGCCCACAAGGCGCAAACACAAGTTTAATGTAGTTGCCATGATTTAAGCAACACACATGATGGTTTTATTGGGTATAAATGGTATAATGAGGATATCATGGCAATTTCATGGCGATATACTTGAGACATCATGGGAATATGATTGGGCATATCATGGCAGATCATGGCAGCCGTGGCAACCGAATAACACTCTCAGCGGTCAGAGCAAGGCCGCAAGGATCAGCCAGTTGGGGTCACAACCACTACCATTTACGGGGGGATACCCAGTTTCAAAACATTTCTTGGGAATTGCTTATTGCTGGGTCTACCTCAGTCAGTACCATTCATTACCTCGGTCTATGGGATTCTACCAGATTTTGACAATTATCATGCACCCCAAGCTTTTAATACAATTGGGCAGAATTATGTGGGGTATTGAGTGATTGTTTCATGTGATATCATATTATCTCATACCAAAATAAAGTATCTCATATTGCCTCATTAAAGTACCTCATACTCTTGACCCCCGGTGTTGAACCTTAAAGATGGCAACAATTGGAGCTACCAACAGCATCCAGGATTGGCGCACTGCCTGGGAACTGTCAAGCCTGGAAGCCTGTGGGTCAACCTTGGTTGGATACTTTAGTACTTTAATCTTTTACTATCAAGGGTAAAATGTACTACCCGGTTTAATTTGATTTGTTTTTTGTGGCAGGTATCTTAGATTCACCATGTTTAACGATGTTTATACAATTTGCATAGGGGGGTGTCCATTGCTAGGGGTACCCCAAAATGGATGGTTTAGGATGAAAATCAATCTATTAATGGATTGGGGGTACCCCCATTTTAGGAAACCACCATATTTTTAGTGGGGAAACCAATGGAGATGAGGGAATCTTAAAGGAATATCATACCATGATGGATATTAAGGGAAATTGTATCATGGATATTATATCACTAACTGTTGATATGCCATGATATAATCAGAAAATGGGACCTTAAATACTGATATTTTATATTATATAGATGAATATAACTAAGAATAATGGGGGTATGAGGAAGTTGAAACCGATGGAGATAAGGGGTATGCACCTCAATGTTATCCAACTTTCCAGCACTGGATGGTCTGCAGTCGGTGTTATTTTGGGTACTCTGGAGGTCTACACCGGTTGTATCATCACATCAGAACGCTTCCTGCCAGTTTGTTTACATTTGGTTTCAAAATGGAATATACCCTAATTTATGGCCATTATACCCAAAAATAGGCTATTCAATGCCATTCAATCATGTTTTCTCAATCATTGTGATTATGAACATGATCCGTTCCACAGGATTTTGGGGAACCCATGGGAACGCAGGTTGTGCCCATGGGCTACCAACGTCCTGCACCGCGACCTGCGCTTCCGGTAGGACGGCGAAACCTCAAAGATGGGGGTATCAATGGATCCACATCATTATTTGATGTTGATACCCCATCAATTAGTTAATTATCCATGAAAATTATCATGATATGTGGTATCAATGGGTTGATTAGTTTTCATCAATTAATCACTGTTAATCTTTTTGAACCACACTCAAATGCAATCCGCACGGTGCTTGGATTCTTGAAACTCATTTTGGTGCTGCCTCTCTCTGTACAATCTAAGTAAAAAATGAAGTGGGATTTCCTTCCTGTTTTGGGAAAGCCTCAGAACATCCGGTCAAGTTCCAAGCAGTCAAGATCCCGGCAAGCCAGGACCTGTAAATCTCTGAACAACTGGATTGCACAGCAGTTTGGCAGCGGAAAGATGCATGGACAGGTATGGCGAACCATTCAACAAGGATAGGGGGTGCCCTCTTCACCACAGGTTTCCCTACTTACTAGACATATCTAAGTTACCAATATTCATCAATATTCTATATTCTGGGTTATTATGAGATATCTCATTACATTTTAGGAAACACCCAGTTCAAGTTATCGGATTCCCAAGGATCGTGAGATATTCAAAATAAGAACACATGAAGGGAGAGTGTGCCCATGTTTGCAATGTTGACCCCCGTACCATATCCATATTTGGAAAATGTGTTTCGACTTGGGAAGAGACTGCCTAAATGATGGTTCATGCTCGGGAAACGGTCTCCTTAATGGCCTGTTTTCACCTGCAAGATTTTTTGCAGACAATCCAGACATGTTCTGAATATGAAATGAAATGGTAACAAGAGGTATAGGCAAAAATCCCAATATTGTCAGTTCAAGAAAGTATTCCCCCGAATGGGTTGGTGAACCTCCGAAAGAAGTGCATGCTGCTCGGCATGTCCGAAAATGGGACATTACGGTATACCCCAAAACCCAAAAGATTAAAGCGCGATCTATAGGTAGTTGAGTGAGGTGACAGATATTTGATAAGTGAACTATTCTCGTGATTCGTGATGATTGTGCTGCATTCCCTGTGTGGGCCAAACAAGGCATGTAATTACACGTGCTAATTCGACATGTCAGACTTCTTCCAGTTGAGGAAGCTACCCTAGCTTGAAAGAAAGTGCATCCATCGAATAAGCCTGGCTTGGCCTTGCGCAACAAGAACATCCAACTGATTCCCTCAGTCTGTCTCAGATTTCTAGATTGCTATGCCTGGCTGACCTATGGCAAAAAAGACCTGATCTCAGATCTCACGAGATGCTCATACTCTTACTGCATCTTTATTGCGTACCTGTCCTTTGTATTCCTTTGTCGCATCAGTCAGACTGTCAGAATTCATGCACCGCTGAATCGTTGAATCTGAATTGTTCCCCACTCTCCGACGATATTTCACTCAAGAGAAGCGTTTGATGTCAAATCAGTTTGTCTGAAAATGGTGGTCCCATGTGGTCCCCTCATTGCTGGCCGCTCCAATGGGTAAAATGATCATAAGAAGGTGCCCCAGTTTTGGACACACCCTTAAAATCCCTTATATAAATGATTTCAAGATTTTCCAAGTCTTTCAAAGCTGTTTCTACCGTTGGAAGCTGTTCCGTGGGGAGTTGCAGACTTGGGCCAATGCAGCCTTGAAACCAGAGGTTAGCACCGACACAACGAACTGGAAGCCCTGCTTCCAATTCGTGAAAACATGGGGTGAACATGAGGGGGAAGTGACTGCAGCTATATTAGCTAGATATAATAGAACTGATATAACCCTTGGACACGCTAATGTAGCTAGCACGAGTTGGGGCCAGCGCCAAGTTGAAAAAATCCAATGGGATACCGGGAGTTGAGTGGGGATGTCATCAGCTCAACTGTTGGGCGGTTGGATACAACTGTTTGGGGTCCATCTTGCAGGATGTTGAGGTAGTCACTGGTTGTCTGGGATGGATGATAGATCATATGGGTATAATATATACATATACAGTCATATACATATATATATATAAGCTACAGCCAAAATCTACCGTAATGGAAAGTAGTATTCGAGATATCTTTATTTTTGGAAATTGAGCTGGGGCTTGGAAAACGATAATACACTCTTCAAAAAACGATAATATTTATACTATATTCCCAAAACCTGAAAAACAATAATAATTACACTCTTCAAAAATTGATGACTTGGAGCTGTATACTAAATATTGACCGTGGAACATATATATGTAATATATGGGTGTAATATAGTATAAGTATGATATTATGTAATATTATAACATGATAAATGATATGTGGGTCAAAAGCACCCCTCTATACCCCTCTACTACATCCCCCCCTTGGATGTTGTTGCTACCTAGAAAAAAGAAACGCCAAACATGTGTGGTTACCTGGTTCCGATGCCCTGGAATTTCGAGACGTACCCAGCCTCCATGGATATAGCGGCCCAGGATTCCAAATTTAAGCAATTCTTTTTGTTTTGATCGTTCCTACACACGTATATGTATATTGTAATACTGTAGTGTATATTATATATAGTATACATATCTCGCACTGGCTATTGTTGTTGTTACCATTACATTACGCGACTAATCTTCACTATAGCAACTTGTTGCCGCTGGTGTCTCACCTCTGGTCCATGTACAGCGAAGACCTTCCCTTTCCATCTCTGGTGGCCGGTGGCCAAGTTGAGTGTTGGCATGGCAAACCCTTGATTATGGTTCAAAGGATGCAGGTGGATTGGGGTTCAAAACCCCTATTGCGACCCTATTCCTTGATGCTTATATTATTGGGATTGCTATAGCCGATATATTGGGGATTCTCACAATCCATTCTGGGAATCCCTGTTAACCCGGCAGTATAAAGGGACGACGGAGGGTTTTGAACTTTTATTTGATGTGATAATGTTAATGGGATATAACCACTCAACAGTATGATATTTGGGTCCGAACATGTTGGGAAACCTTCCACAATTCCATGGTTTACAGCATCATCATTTTCCCCACACCCTTTTTTGGACAACCCCACATCCAATGGAAACGTCTACTCGGGTCTGCTTGAAAATTGGGGATTACCTTAACAAATGGATAATAGGTAGAATTTAGAATGATGATAAAACATGATTGTTTTGGTTAACCTATGTTAAAATATGCTAAGACAAACCCCCAGGTGCGGGTTGTTTCAAACTTGGGGATCTCCAATATCTAGTTAATTTATGTTAATTTAAATCGGAATTGATGATCAACCATGAGATTGAGTCTCCAAATTTAGACACTTCGATTCGACTTCAATGGTCAGTGGCTTGTTTGAAGACCATGGCGAAGTTCGAAGGGATTGGTGTGGGAGGAAGTGGCCGGGTAAACTTGTGGGATGTGGGATACGGATAGCAACCAACATCAACCAACTGTTTCTTTGGGGAACAAAACACTTTTTGGACGATAGTTGCAACATTTTGTAAGCACTCAACTCTCTGACAGCGATCTTTAAATAGAACAAGAACAAAGATAGATCTGACATGATCTGACTGAGTCGATATGTCGGATATGAAGAAATATCAATTGTTTTCTGGAGAGAACATACCACCATCTACAACCCATCTACAGTTGTCACCAACCACTGTGACCATTTCGGCAACGCGCCCGCAGGGACAGCTGCAAGCAGAGCAACAGAAATCAGTGGAACTCTCCGTGTCGTTGGGTGAGGCAGGACCGAAAAGCAATCGAAATGGCAAATGCTGGATGGGGAAAATGATGGTAAACCGTTGGATGTCGGGGCAATTACCTGGTTTTGAGACAAAGCCAATGGCAAATTCAGCTTTCTTAGTTGAACATTCAGCTAGTCAATAGGGCTGGACACGGTAAACCACCCAGATTTTGCCCTCTAAGACAGGGGGGAAATGATTTACGCCCCAATATAGCCATGGACGGATACTGAAACTTATTTTCTCTAATGATTAAATGTGCTGCTTTCCCCAAGACAAATCAGACAGCTGACTCCTGTGCCTATCAGTGTCTTCCCTGCCTGGTGTTGGCCATTGCAATGCCTGTAGCCCATTTGTAGAGAGTCCCCAGAGAGACATTGTTATCTAGATCAAAGCCTAATGAAGCACATGACTGGGGTCATGAGCATCCATAAATTATCAGTTATTTTGGTGTGATCAGCAACGAACTGCAGGGTCTCGACCCCAATGATCCACCTCAGTATTGTTGATTTTAGCAAGAATGCAATGTTTCTTTCTGGTCAGTGGTTTCAATGATTTCCTGGTTGGGGGGTTCAAAAAAATGCTTTAACCATGCGTGGGATTATTGGTTGGGATGACAAGTGACTAGTAAGTATTTGTGGGATTGGTGAAAACCACCAACCAGCTTTTCTTATAGCCATATGATGATGTTTGCAACCCTACGACTTTTCTAGCCATATGATTAAAGACCCACCCAAAACATCCCAAAACAACCAATACATATTAGAATGGAATCTTAAACAATGACTATTGTGGCATTGGTTAAATCTTGAAACCCGATTTTCTGTAGGGTTAAAGCACCAGTGCCGCATGCCGGTATGATGCTCGAAGGCTCAGCATCGTATGGCACATCTGGAAGAAAGTCAGGGCGGTGCTGCTGAGGTGAGAGCTGGGTTGGTGGTTTCAATTTTTTCGGATGATGAAGTTATGTTGAATCAACAATGGGTTGGATATGGTTAATCAATGTTAATCAACAATGATTGGACATGTCACAACTATATTGCACTATGGTTATAGTTTCAATTATATAACTTCTCTCAGGAGTGTTCAATCATATTTGGGATATTTTTGGGATGGTATTTCCAGACAGGGTGAGGGTAATTACAAAGTGGTGATTGGTGCAAGTCTCACGGGCGACAGTGCACCCACCAGCAAAGTGGCAAGATTGGCCAACATTCTTGAGCCAGACAAAGCTGTGATCCTTATCGATAATTAAAGCAAATGGCTTTGGGCTATGATATGCGGTGATGGCTTGAAGCATGTAGATAATTCGCTTGGATCGGTACATATAGACACATATATGTCATATTATATATACATGTGTATGATGAATTATATACGATCATATATGATAGATAGATGTATGGCTTTGTGCACACAACTTTTCATGCCTCCAGAACATCTCCCAGGTCTGTGCTGTACTACTTCCTGGGTCATGTTTTATTGTGCTGGTATACATGGAATGGGATAGAACATGGAAACTCAACCTGTCTAGCCGTAACAAGAATGGTATGTAGTGGATATATATATATGGATATATGACCTATACAACCATATGTAAGTAGGTTTGGAAGTTTGGCTGCGATTTTGTGATTAGAAAAGAAGCTGATCGTTTCCACATGCTTTCAGCAACGGGCTCTGATAGCTTTATATAGCTTTCCCACCCGGTCTGCCACAGGCATTACGAGAGGCCAAGGTCCCTGGGTCCCGTCTCGACGCCCAAAATGGGGATTTTTAGGGGATGAACATGGATGAACAAATGATGAACATCCATAACTACCCTCTGGTAAACTAACATAACTATGGAAAATCACCATTTTTAATGGGAAAACTCACTATTTCTATGGCCATTTTCAATAGCTATGTTAAATTCCCATAACTACCACTGACTGATGTGAACTACAGATATGACCAGCATGCCATGACCCAATATGACCCCATGTCGCTCCGCACAATCTTTCCAGCATACAAAAGCTGCAGCAAAGCCATCACCTCTCCATTGTTTTTGTTGCATTTTGTTGCGAGGTATCACGTCACTATGTTGCTTCAATCTTCTTTGGGATCCCTACGTCTAAAGGGGATTTAAGAATCCCCATGTCTCGTTGTTCCGCAGACTCGGGTGAAAAGAAAAATGGCAGGAAATTCCTGTACAAGTCATGGGAAAGTAATGAATTCTTTTAGAATATAGTAAAATATTCCTTAAACCAAACCCATGTTTCCTGGTTTATAACAACATATTGGGCTGAAAAGCCATGGCTCCACAATCCCCCGGCCCCCAAATCTCAAATTTCCTAAACAAACACAATCATCACAAACTTCAAAATCCCCTAACCCATCAGTAAACCATATAACATTTGAAGAAAACCATGGTTTTCAAACCCATCGATCGTCAATGGAACTTCCTCGGCCGGAGGTGCGCGAGCTACAAGAGCGCGCGCAAGTGGCAGAGGAGCTAACACATTACCACGGCAGTTTACCTTGGGGATACTTGGGGTATCTATATAGCATTGTTGTAGCTAGAATTACCTTGGGTGATGGACTTCACTTGCTTCATTAGTTGAATTGAAACAGATTGCATCCCCAAGATCTGATACCACGTGCCCCAAAATGCTTGTGACTATGGGGTAAACTTGGGGTACCGGAGACATGTCAGATAGATGTTAAGACTGAGAAATGTGGTCAAGTCATTGAGTGCTCCAAACAGTGGCTACAATACAATATAATATAATATTGTAATATAATATAATATAATACTATATTATATAACTTAATAATATAGTAATAGTATAATATAGTATAGCATAGTATAGTATAGTATAATATAGTATAGCATAGTATAGTATAGTATAATATAATATAGTATAGTATAATATAATATAATATAAGATAATATAGTATAATATAATATAATATATTATAATATAGTATAGTATAATATAATATAGTATAATATAGTTTAGTGCAATTTAATATAGTACAGTTTAATATAATATAGCATAGTATTTTTTAATTTAATGTAACATAAAAGGTAATATATATATATTATAAATATTCAGATTATAGAAAATGATTATATATTCGAATGACCAACATGTGCGGACTCCCGGGCCACGACACATTTTCTCCAGGAGAAGTTGCTGGAAGCCCAATCCATGCGCGACATGTTCGCCAAGGCCGAGAGCTTCCATGGTTGTGTGTGTGTGCGGATGTGCGCTTGAGAAGATATTATCACTTATCACTATATCTTGTTCATGGAATTTAACCATCCTCACTATGTTAACCAGGGATATCAATCATTGTTGATAGGGAACCATGGTTGGTCATTGGGAGAAGTTACTACTGGTAGTTTTTGTTGGCTAATTTTCTTACTGAGAATCAAACAAATACACAATGACCGGTAATGATCCTTATGACTTATGACAGCAATGACCACCAAAGGAACAACTTTGGCATTTTTGTTTGCCCACAAACGCCATGGATGTTTGGAAACACTGGGATTCAACCAATGCTGTTTTTTTATGGGTCTTCTGACGGGTGTATTACGGGAGTATGACGTGTGCATCAGTCTCATTCACGCGGAGGATAACAACTTTCAGAGGGCCGTTCTGGCTTCCAGGCTGTTCACATCTGGCTGGTCACAAGATGTCACAAGTGTCTACCCCAAACATTGGATTGTTAATACTTTAACAGCCAATAAGTTGTGTTCTCCAGGTCCAATTGATTCTTGAGAAACAGCCACTGCCACAGCATTTCTGCTGGGCAAAGTCCTGCAACCTCAGGAGACGGAGATGTACCGAAACGAGCTGAAGGCTGCACTGACGGTACCAGATTTGGTGGGATATAGTGATATAGCATCCATGTACAATCATCTAGAAAAACACATCAGCTGGGCTCTTGATCCACGCCCACATGGCATCCCTAAATCCAATCATGATTGTCTCATGAAAAACCAGCATTTTTTGGAGTATACCCCATGTTTCAGACACATTGCGGTCACCATCTTTCCTTGCTACTCGTAAGAGATTCCCGGGTGTTTTGGTGTACCCCCTGGCCCCGTAGGGCCCGCAACCAGGTGAGCCGTGACGAAAAGACTTTGCTGGAAGAGGACCTGAAGCAGTTGCAGGAGATTCCGTTGGCCTTGCTGCCATTGGGGATACCCTCTGGTAAACATACAAAAAACATCAAAAAACCATTGAACATGGCCATTTACCCTCTGGTAATGACTAACATAGCTATTGAAAATGGCAATTTATAGTGAGTTTTCCCATTAAAAATGGTGATTTTCCATAGCTATGTTAAATTACCAAAGGGTAGGGATATGGGGATGATACATTGGGTTTTACCATGCAGCAAAGATGATGGTTAGAATGGGGATATTTTTTCTCGTCATCCCATTCACCCATTCCCTACTAAACACCGGTAAGGTAAATATGATACTCCTTCGTTATGGGAGTAGTGATTTTACATGGTTCAACCAACAAGAAATATGGGATATCATGGTTTGACATGATTTAACACGATTTAGCCAATATGTTTTGACATGATTTTTATGGTGATTTAATAGGGGATAGCATTGGATAGCATTGGAATATAAATTGATTGTGATATGATAACGGGATCAACCCCATGGGTATCCTGAAAATTCTGGCATGAGTCAACTTCATGGTCATGTATAGCCAACTACTGTACATAACTAGGGGATACCCCAAATGCACCGTTTTTTGAGTAAAATGATGATCAACCAGTGGATTGAGGAGTACCATACTTTAAGACAAATCCATGTAGAAAAACAATACAGGACAATAACATTGCAGCACACTTAGCATGCATATGAGCTTTGATAGTCGTTGTAAGACGATACTTGTGGTGCTGTGCAAAGGAATCCACCATAGAAATGATATCCACCACACTTCCGTTTCTTGGGGACACAATCCCTGATTTTTTGGGTGAACTCTGTGTGAATTCCTGTGTGAATTCCAGGAAATGCAGACCTCCAGATAACCCCGACCGCAGAATCCAATCGATACCACCATCATTACCACCATCGTACAATCTCGTACAATTATACAACCAGAAATAACCAGAATATTTCAATCGATTATTCCGAATTATTCCACGCGCAAATCACCCTTGTGGCCGCATGTGACGTGGCTCAACAGGAGGCGTTCAGCGATGGTAGACTATAGGGATGTCCAAAAATGTTCTTCGTATCTCCCAAAGATTCCCAAAGTTATGGCAATTTTCTGTATAGTATATATAATGATTAGTATATTCCCAAATATCTACTGTATAGTATATTAGTATATCCCAAAGATCCCAAATGATGAGTACTGTATATTAATATATAGTATTTAATCGGGACATGGCGATCAACGATGGGATTTTAGGAGGGCTGCAGTATTTCCAGTGAAAGCCTGTCAAGCAAATCCTGGGAAGGGACGACATACAAAGGACTGTATTGTACAGAGTCTTGGGGACTGTACAATGAGGATTATATGTGTTAAACTCCAACAAACCACTGGCTTGACACAACACTTGAACCTCATGAGATCTATTGCTTCATATAATTATTACTGTATATTGATTCATGAATGCGCCGCGAACCGTTGCTTGAGCGGCAAAACTTGCCACAGCAGGCTGGGGTCGTGGGCATGTTTTGGAGTAGGATACTGTAAGAGCAAAATCTTCAGAGGACAAATGTCGTGTGATTTCACCGCTTGCTTCGTGCGAAGCAAATATGTATAGTCGAGCGTTTTTAAAGCAGGAAATTTGGATCTGATCAATTGGATTGCCCCCTTCCAGCGCTCCCAGGATGCGAGACCTGCATGCCTCTTGGTGAAAGGTCGCGATATTAGTTGCTGTGAGGCTGACAATAAATGCAGATACCAAATCTCACGAATCATTTTGCGAAGCAACAATGGGATTTGTATAGATTTGTAGAGAATGACTTCAACAAATACTTGGCAACTAGCCATGTGACAATCCAAAAAGCTCTATACAGACTCTTCATGATTTCTGTATGCACAAACATCCAAAAAGTCTCATGCGGCTTGACCCGAAGAATCGGACCCCTAGTGGTGATTTGAAACCATTTCTAGTGGTACTGTAAAAGAGTCCTATTTTTTGGATGCCCAAGTTCAACCCAGACCACCCGAGGTTCTGAGTTGAAAGATCAACCTGCGGCTGTGCAACAGAACAGGTCAGGGGGCACCATCTTCAGAGTTGATCCCCATATTCTTTGGAGAAATTCCATGAAATTCCCATGATTTCCTGATGTTCGCTCAAATCATCCCCATGATCCATGAACCATCCCCATATTCTTTGGAGAAATTCCCAGATTTTCCTATGCTTTCCCCATGATCCATGATAGCTATTGGCTACTGTCTCTGTCTATCTGGCGTAGGTCACAGGGAATCCCCAGAGCCACGCCATGACCAGCTGCGGAGGCTGGCCTCGCGCTCCCTGTTGTGGCACTGGCGGCAAGGCGGACGAGTACCTCGGCAGATCTCCCTATTCAACCCCGAGAAAGGTATAGAAAGGTCAGAATGATATATAGAAATCAATGATAATCAATGGACATATATCCCCCACTGTTCAATATATATATATATATTATATATATATGTATATATAGATAGATAGGGATGCATGTTTTTTGGACCTGGGCACCCTTTTTTTGGACCTGTCTTTTTTGAACCTGACCGGATTTTTTGTTTGGACCTAGGGTCACAAAAAATGTTGGGGACTTGCTTGTGTGTTTTCTGTACCCTGTGGGGATATTTTTTTTGGACCTGCATGTCTTTGTGCTGGACCCAGGGAATTTTTTTTCGACAGCCAAATTACTGTAATTGTTTCTGAGCTCGGTTTCTGTTTTCTGGACCCGTGCACCTGCTTCGTGGACCTTGCCTCCATAGGGTGGGGGGGGGAACTCCATTGTTATAGGCGCTCACATTGGGCTGGATGTTTTTGAACCTTGGCGCCTTCTTTTTTGGAACCCGTACACTTTTTTTTGGACCTGGCACAGGGTGGGGATTTAGATACTGAGACAAGGTGCATGCAAGAAGTTGTTGATGCCGGGGAAGTTCCGGTATTGAAACAATAAAAACGTAAGAAGTGGTGGAGAGGCCTATGGGGGAAGTCTACGTATGAAGCGAAATGGATGCAGGAAATTGACGGGCACATAGGGGAAAGAGAAAGTTCGATATTGAAGCAGGATGAGCGCAAAAAGTTGTTGAGAGATGAGGGGTGAAGCCTAGACATTCAAACGAAATGAAGATAGATGAAGATACATGCAAAATAAATGCTGAGAGACGCAGGGGTTATTTTTTGGGATCCGAAAATGAATGCCGGAAGAGGGTGGGGGGAATTTAGATATTGAGACAAGATGCATGCAAGAAGGTGTTGAGAGAAACGGGGGAACATGTAGATATTGAAGCCAGGTGACCGCAGAAAATTGGTGAGAAAGAGGCAGGTGGGAGAGGGGAAAGTTAGACATCAAAACAAGGATGAACGCAAGAAGACGAGAAGCGGAAGTCTAGATATTGAACCCAAATGACGGTGCATGCAAGAAGCTGTCGGGAGACGAGGGGAGGCTGAAGCTGTGGAGAGGCACAGGTGGGGGGGACTTTAGGAGGCCACGGTGGAACCAGATTTAAATCCAAATGAATGCAGGAAGTTGCTCAGGGGCACCGGGAATATTGAAGCAAGATGAATGCAGGAAGTTGTTGTGGGGCACTGGGGAGGAAGCTTAGATATTAAAACAAAATGAACGCAAGAAGTTATGGGGAGGCTGCGGGGGAAGTATAAATACTAAAACCCAATGAATGCAGGAAGTTTAGGAAGTTTGGGGAGAGGCACAGGGGGGGAAGTAGGATATTATATATATATATTGAAACCAGATGGGCGCAAGAAGTTGTTGAGAGACAAGTGGGGGGAAGCTTAGACATTGAAACCAACTTGAGATGCATGCAACAAGTTGTTAAGGGGATTTAAGAGGCCAAGTGTTGAGACCAAGCGAATGAATGCAGGAATTGGTGGGAGGCACAAGGGGGGGGAAGTTTTGATAGTGAAGCCAGGTGAATGCTCCCAAGTGGGGCACAGAGGTGTGAAGAGTAGAAATTGAGAAGAAGAGGGCAGAATGGGAAGGAGGTGGGAAACCCAGTGTGTCACAAGGAGATGGGCGCTGCACTCCCTGGAGAGTATAGATATTGAAGCCCAATGAATGCAGGAAGTTAAGGATTTTTGAATGAAGGGGGAAAGTTAGATATTGAAACCAGATGAGCGCAAGAAGTTGTTGAGAGACAGAGGAAGCCGAGATATTGAAACCACATGCATGCAGTGTCGTTTTGTTTTTGTTTTGGTTTGGTTGGAACACGTGTTTTTGTGTTCACCGTTTCTCGGAAGATTGATTGCTTGGCGGCTGCAGCGTTGATTTAATGCTCATGGTGGCATGACGTTCACTGCCTTTGTTGTTGTGTAGTTATCTTGGATTCTGGGCCTCCACGGTGAGAAATATTATGTATGCGGACTCGAGGCATCTCTTGCAGAAGTTTGAGGTTGGCATTATTGCCTTTGGAGCCATCGCCTTGTTCAGAGAAAGTGGCCGCAACATGGATGCCTGGAAATGGCTTCTGCAGCCCAAGCACATTGGGTATGATTTCGCACCCTTGCTGGCAGAGTTGCAGCAAGCATTCCAAGCACTTGCGCAGTGCCATACATGCTATTTGTTCCGCCGCGTGCGCGCGCTTATAACGCAAGCTTCCGAGAACATGATTCGAAATGTGCGCCTGCAATCGCAGCCTTGGACAGCTTTATCACATGGTTTCGGGCACAATACGATGTCACGTTGCACTCATCATACTCTGACTTTACTCACTGATACGATGTTGATATTGCAGAGCTGTCAATCCATGATTGAGTTGGTGCCACCTGACCCAACGACTGATGACACCTTGCCACCTTTGGCCGATCCTCCTCAAAGTGACACTGGAGCCACGACATTGACAGCGAATCCCCCTTTGGATCCGCATGCTCCATGCATGCGACTTCTTCCGGCAGAATATTGATGATGATCTGCTGGATGGCTTTGGGACTGCCACGTTTTTTTTTCGTCGGGGTGTGACACAGACCTTGCCCGACCCATGTTTTGCATTGACAGTTTGTTCCAGAACAAGAGCATGGCATTTCCAGTGCAATGATGCGTGGCGTTTTTGCATCCTCTCAACTACTATCCCCAGACCCTAAGAAAGCTCATTGTAGGCCCTGGATCTAGGGTCTGAAGTGGGGTCTGGAATGATAATACCTAAGTATTTCCAGAAATATAAAGGAACCATGTTAGACCTTCCCTAGGGGTCCGGGAACTTGCACATAACACAGCTATGATCCTGGAAGGCTCAGAGAGGTAACTTCATTTTAGACTCCTGGTTCCTTCAAACAGCTCCCGGCATCTCCCGCAATAAGCCTAACAAGACGCATCCTTCCAGGTATTTTGGGGTTGGATGTGTATGTAATGTGACCCAATATGTTTTTCCTATCTTTTCCTCATCTTCATGGGTCTGAAATGGTTTACCACATCCTGAAACCATAAATTTTCACCACAAATGCTATGGGAACATCATTTCAGATCCATCAAGATGGACCATTCCCAACTATACAGAGGAGAAACCATCACCATCAACAAAGATATCAATGATATGTGTTGATACCAATGGGTATTTGATTTGGAATCATTTCCACCTTCGAGGTATTTTGGGGTTGGATGTGTATGTAATGTGACCCGATATGTTTTTCCTTTTTGTTTCCTGATCTTCGTTTTTGCCACTTTGCTTTGGAATGATTTCATGGTGACAAGAGGCATGCGTATGCCACCAATTCAATGGCTCCAACAGACCTCGCCCAATGTTGCCACCGTGGAAAAAGAGTTTGCGCGAGTGTTCATTCGGCATCCGTTGGCGCCGTGGGCGCCGCGGCTGTTTGCGTGGCAGGCGTGGCACTGGGCGACGTCCACCTACCTTTTGCATGGCAGGCGTGGCACTTGGTGACATGGATGCGCACTTTGCGTGGCAGGCTTGGCACTTATGGCACTGGGCTGGCTCTGGTGGCGCGCTTGGGTCCCAGTTGACACCGTGTTTGCGTGGCAGGCGCGGCACTTGGCGACATCCACCGCCACTTTGCGTGACTGAGAGGCACAGGGGCGCAGGAGAACTTCGGATATTGAAACAGCATAAAGGCAAGAAGTTGTGGAGAGGCCAACGGGGGGAAACCTACATATGAAACCACATGGATGCAGGAAGTCGAAAGGCACATTGGGGGAAGAGAAAGTTAGATATTAGAACAAGATGAGCACAATAAGTTGCTGAGAGTTGACGGGTGAAGCCTAGACATTGAACCCACATCGGCTGCAGGCAACGAAGACCGTCATGGACAGATGTGTGAACGTACCGGCGAGGGATGCTCCTGGGCGCAATGGTCGCAGCTGAGGGTGCCACATGAGTCGACAGCGAAATCTATGTAACCTCGTTGGTTAGTATCCGGTCACAGGACGTATGCGTCTGAAGAATTGCGATCAAGACGCGGCTGGACAGAAACTGGAGAATCTATCCAAAGGTGGTTTGGGAGTAGACAGTGTACAGGAAAGGCTTCCTGCCATGTTGCATGCTAGCTGCTAGCACGGTCAAGGCTCCCAGATTAGCTTTACCCCTCGCAAGCAGCAACGAACTCACCAATGACCCATCCTGGGGATTGCGAAGCAGACGCTGCTAGCGCAGCTCTAGCCCCCTACTGTCCAGGCACGGCAGCCAGGGTAACTGTCATTCCTGTCACACAGGTTGGAGTTCAAGGCTCCCAGACTGGCTATACACCTCGCAAGCAGCAACGACCTCACCAGGATGAGTGTCCAAGTCGGTTCAAGCTGTGAGGACAACACTATACATGGCACTTCCTGCCCAGTTGCATGCAAGCGCAGCTCTAGCGCCCTACTGTCTCAAAAATTGCGATGCAGACGCGGCTGGACAGAAACTGGAGAATCTATCCAAAAGGGGTATGGTTTGGGAAAGGGCCAGGTCGAGCAGGAGGGAAGGATGTAGTAAGGTTGTCCAATAGAAATGTAACTAGGTCCAAAAAAATGTTTTCCTATATATATATTATATTATACATAACTTTTGTTTTTCGACTTTGGCTTGGCATGGGCAATTATCAATCGGGAAAATGATGATGAACCACTGGATTTTAGGGCTATCCCATTTTCCGACAGACCCAGTTGTGCTGTGAGAGGCGATGCAGTTGGATCAGGTCATTGGGTGCCCCAGGAAGAGTTCCTTCAACGATATTAACAAAAATATCCAAACAGATATCCCCGCAAAATGTCAAAGAAGTTTCCAACAATCGGATGATGTCAAATCCACAGAATTCAGAAAAATCAGAATGACCCACCACTCTGTTTGTGGTGTCCCCAGGCAGCTTTTTGGTGGCATGGCTGGGGGTCTTCCACGTTTCGTGGCCCATTTGGAACCACGTGAAGTCGGAGTGAACCCGACCGAACCATGGAACCATGGAACCAGTTTCCCAGTCCTTGGGGGATGATCATAACCGATTACCCTCTGATAAACAAACATGTTGCTTTGGAAAATCACCTTGTTTAACGGGTAAATCCACTATTTCTATGGCCATTTTCAATAGCTATGTTTGTTTACCAGAGGGTAATAGGGAGTTAAATATCGGATTCCCGTTATGGGACGACCATATTGTGGCGCTTCAACCTGTCTGATGTTTGGCGACGTGACGTATTTGCCATCCAGAAGAACAATTAGAAGGAATATTGATGATGGTATTTTGCACGCCCACTTTTATTGGATACGATTTACATGCCACTTACTGTATCATCCTTCCACCCATTAACATTGTCTACAATGTTCATTGAAAAGAGTGTACCCCGAGATCCAATGTTTTATCATGTTTTATCATCATGTTCCCTGTAATAAGAACCATACAGGGGTATATACCCCATTGACCGACCCTCATATGGACGAAACAGTTTTTGCCACTCTGAGATGAGTCCCAAATTGGGTGAGTTACCAGAGTTTCAGTCAGTTTGAATGAGGACGATGATGATATTCCTAAGATTTGATTCACATTGAAATATCATCACCTTCCCGTTTGTTAACTAGCTGTAAATTGTTCTAATCCATGATTAATAGCGCATGATAGGGGCTGTCTCAGCCATTGGAATTGGGAACCTCCCCGAGACAAACCCATTTCACCATTCCATCCAGCTCCAGTTGTGCTTTGTCTGAAAAAATCAAGGGAAAAAAATCCCAAATCCATAGGTTGAATTGTCATTTTCCCTATTCAAAATGCCAGTTGTAGGTTTCCTAAAATGGCGTACCCCAAAATCATCCAAGTCATGGATGACCATGACTTAGTATTGAAAACCATGGTGACGACTGGGGATCCCAGTTTAAGACATCCCGATATAGAATGATATAGATATATGGCTGATGTGGTAGACCCAATAATAAAATATAATAAACCCTCCCTGCAGCTTCATTATTATGTAAATCGATAAATCCCTTCTTTTCAGCCCATTTAGGACCTTGCTTTCCTAGGTCCAAGCGACCTCGTCTCCGCAGTCTAGAGCCGAGCTCGTTTCCCGCGGCCACGCCGGTGGTGCCTTGGAGATGAGGGTGCCATGATGTGCCATGACTGGCTGAATGGTTTCAAAAATTGGGATTTTGTAGGGTAAAAACATACTTTACTTCGAGTGATCCCCATCTTGTTTTGTCATAGTTTCCGACATCTCATTTGGATAAATACAGAGAGATGGGATGTTCATGAGAATTTAATGGGATATTAGTGGGATATTAATGAGACTTTATTGGGATGGTAATGAGATTTCACCAACAAAAATTGGGATTTAACCATCGGAAAGTCGGATACAGTGGGTATCCAGTGGATGGAGGGAACCAAGGGGCTAGGGCGGCTAGGGGATTCATATTTCAGTTTTGAAATGGGGAGCCGGTTGGAGCTAGCTACAGTAGAGTTTGCCACATGATAGGTGGGTATAACATAGACCCGGGCAAGCCGGCGGCGGAAGTTTCCCAACAATAAATGACCTATAGTTCGAAGACAACCTGTCCCGACCGTGTCCTTCCCTCGACAGGCGGCTTTTTTTTTCAGCGAGAGACGAAGCAAAGTCTTCACACACCACACTCCACACTTCACAGTCCACACTTCACACTTCACACTTCACACTCCACACTTCACACTTCTCACTGCTTCCTTCACACTCCAAACCTCACACTTCACACTTCACACTGCGCTCTTCGCACTTCACACTCCGCACTTCACACTTCACAGTTCACACTTCTCACTTCCCACTGCTTCCTTCACACTTCACACTTCACACTCTCACTTCGCACTTCACACTCCACACTTCACACTTCACACTTCACAGTCCACACTTCACACTTCACAGTCCACACTTCACACTCCACACTTCACACTTCACAGTCCACACTTCACACTCCACACTTCACAGTCCACACTTCCCACTTCACACTTCACAGTCCACACTTCACACTTCACACTTCAGAGTCCACACTTCACACTTCTCACTGCTTCCTTCGCACTCCACACTTCTCACTTCACACTTCTCACTTCGCACTTCACACTTCACACTTCTCACTTCACCGCACTTCACACTCCACACTTCACACTTCACAGTCCACACTTCACACTTCTCACTTCTCACTGCTTCCTTCACACTCCAAACTTCACACTTCACACTTCTCACTTCGCACTTCACACTCCTCACTTCACACTTCACAGTCCACACTTCTCACTTCTCACTGCTTCCTTCACACTCCAAACTTCACACTTCACACTTCTCACTTCGCACTTCACACTCCACACTTCACACTTCACACTTCACACTTCTCACTTGGCACTTCACACTCCAAACTTCACACTTCACACTTCACAGTCCACACTTCACACTTCCAGTTCAACTTCGCACCCCACACTCCAAACAGTTCACACTATCTCACTCGCACTTGCAGCCACTCACTGCAACTTCACACTCCACACTTCACACTTCAACACTTCACAGTCCACACTTCACACTTCTCACTTCTCACTGCTTCCTTCACACTCCAAACTTCACACACTTCTCCACTGCGCGCACTGGCACTTCACGACTCCAACTTCACACTTCATTCACACTTTGCACAGTCCACACGTTCAACACTTCTCACCGTCTCACTGCACTAGGCTTCCTACACACTCCAAACTTCACACTCCAAACTTCACACTTCACACTTCTCACTTCGCACTTCACACTCCACACTTCACACTTCACACTTCACAGTCCACACTTCACACTTCACACTTCTCACTTCGTACTTCACACTTCACACTTCACAGTCCACACTTCACACTTCACACTTCTCACTTCGCACTTCACACTCCACACTTCACACTTCACACTTCACACTTCACACTTCACACTTCTCACTTTCCCTCACTTTCTCACTTGCTTTCCCTTCCTTCACACACTCACACTTCACACTTCACACTTCGAAGTCCACACTTCACACTTCTCACTTCTCACTGCTTCCTTCACACTCCAAACTTCACACTTCACACTTCTCACTTTGCACTTCACACTCCACACTTCACAGTGCAAGTCCACACTTCACACTTCTCACTTCTCACTGCTTCCTTCACACTCCAAACTTCACAAACTTCACACTTCACACTTCTCACTTCACACTCCACACTCCACACTTCACACTTCACACTTCTCACTGCTCACTGCTTCCTTCACACTCCAAACTTCACACTTCACACTTCTCACTTCGCACTTCACACTCCACATTTCACACTTCACACTTCAACAGTCCACACTTCACACTTCTCACTTCTCACTGCTTCCTTCACACTCCAAACTTCACACTTCACACTGCACTCTTTGCACTCGAAATTTCACACTCCACACTTCACAGTCCACACTTCACACTTCTCACTTCTCTCACTGCTTCCTTCACACTCCAAACTTCACACTTCACACTGCACTCTTCACGCCCCACACTTCACACTGGACTCTTCACACTCCACACTTCATCTCATCTGAGCTCTTCTCACCTTATCCCAGCTCATCTCTTCTCACCTCGTCCCTTCTCATTTGTCATCTATTAAGCTTTCATTAATCAATTCCCAGCACTACTACTAATCACTGTCGCACCCTTGATGCACCCACTCCATTACGATTTACGAAGTCCAGCTGCAAAAGACAATAGTATTGCGCATGCAGCCGCGGCACCAAGCAACCTTGACGCAGCCACTACATTGCGATCTGCAAAGACTGAGTTGCAAAACACAGTAGAACTACGCGCAACGGGGTCGGAAATTGTAGCTCCAAAACCGGATTTCGACGCCAAAGCGAAAAAAAGACGATTTTGAAGCACTTTTTAAAAGGATTTCTAGAAGGAAAATCACTAGCGCCAAAATGGAGAAAATTTGCTGACAAATCACTGTCGCAGCCTTCATGCAGCCACTCCAATACGATTTACGAAGTCCAGCTGCAAAAGACAATAGTATTACCCATGCATCCAAAGCAGGAAGCAACCTTGACGCAGCGACTACAATGCGATCTGCAGAAACTGAGTTGCAAAACACAATAGAATTGCGCGCAACGGCGTCGGAAATTGTAGCTTCAAAACCGGATCTCGACGCCAGAGCGAAAAAGACGATTTTGAAGCACTTTTTAAAAGGATTTTTAGAAGGAAAATCACTAGCGCCAAAATGGAGAAAATCTGCTAACAAATCACTGTCGCAGCCTTCATGCAGCCACTCCAATACAATTTACGAAGCCCAGCTGCAAAAGACAATAGTATTACCCATGCATCCAAAGCAGGAAGCAACCTTGACGCAGCCACTACAATGTGATCTGCTCAGACTGAGTTGCAAAACACAATAGAACTACGCGCAACGGCGTCGGAAATTGTAGCTCCAAAACCGGATCTCGACGCCAGAGCGAAAAAAAGACGATTTTGAAGCACTTTTAAAAGGATTTTTAGAAGGAAAATCACTAGCGCCAAAATGGAGAAAACCTGCTGACAAATCATTGTCGCAGCCTTCATGCAGCCACTCTGATACGATTTACGAAGCCCAGCTGCAAAAGACAATAGTATTACGCATGCAGCCAAAGCAGGAAGCAACCTTGACACGATCTGCAAAGACTGAGCCGCAAACCGCAATCCCATTTACATCGGCAACTCATCCACCAGCAACACTTGCAATCCCATTTACATTGCGGGAAGGATCCTACAGTTGCAAATCACAATGGAATTCCATCGGCAACTCATCCAGCAGCACCACTTGCAATCCCATTTACATTGCGGGAACGATCCTACAGTTGCAAATCACAATGGAATTCTGTCGACCGCACATAGACGAAACACAGTTGAAACCCCATTTACAATGCGGAACCGATCCGAGAATGATCCGAGCATGATCCGAGGATGATCCGACCACACACGAGACCGTCTCGCACCCGTCGCACCGCAGAGGTAGATCATCGAGGTTCGGGGACGCACTTTGTCTGGAAAAACACAGGGTTTCGTGCATCTGCTATCTCTCAAAAACGCATTTCGTGCGAGACTTCCTTCAAAACTCCATCGGCAACTCCTCCACCAGCACCACTTGCAATCCCATTTACAGTGAGGGAACGATCCTAGAGTTGCAAATCACAATGGAATTCCATCGGCAACTCATCCACCAGCACCACTTGCAATCCCATTTACAATGCGGGAACGATCCTACAGTTGCAAATCACAATGGAATTCTGTCGACCGCACATGCACGAAACACAGGTGAAACCCCATTTACAATGCGGAACCGATCCGAACATGATCCGAACATGATCCGAGCATGATCCGAGAATGATCCGACCACACACGAGACCGTCTCGCACCCTTCGCACCGCAGAGGTAGATCATCGACGTTCGGGGACGCACTTTGTCCGGAAAAACATAGGGTTTCGTGCATCTGCTATCTCTCAAAAACGCATTTCGTGCGAGACTTCCTTCAAAACTCCATCGGCAACTCATCCACCAGCACCACTTGCAATCCCATTTGCATTGCGGGAAGGATCCTACAGTTGCAAATCACAATGCCCTAACTAACTCTTTCCCTCACTAACTCTTTCTTTGACTAACTCTTTCCCTGACTAACTCTTTCTTTGACTAACTCTTTCCCTGACTAACTCTTTCTTTGACTAACTCTTTCCCTGACTAACTGTTTCTTTGACGAACTCTTTCTTTGACTAACTCTTTCTGTGACTAACTGTTTCTTTGCTAACTCTTTCTTTGAATAACTCTTTCCCTCACTAACTCTTTCTTTGACTAACTCTTTCCCTGACTAACTGTTTCTTTGCTAACTCTTTCTTTGACTAACTCTTTCCCTCACTAACTCCTTCTTTGACTAACTCTTTCCCTCACTAACTCTTTCTTTGACTAACTCTTTCCCTGACTAACTGTTTCTTTGACTAACTCTTTCCCTGACTAACTGTTTCTTTGCTAACTCTTTCTTTGACTAACTCTTTCCCTCACTAACTCTTTCTTTGACTAACTCTTTCCCTGACTAACTGTTTCTTTGACTAATTCTTTCTTTGACTAACTCTTTCTTTAACCTGACTAACTGTTTCTTTGACTAACTCTTTCTTTGCTAACTCTTTCCCTCACTAACTCTTTCTTTGACTAACTCTTTCCCTGACTAACTGTTTCTTTGCTAACTCTTTCTTTGACTAACTCTTTCCCTCACTAACTCTTTCTTTGACTAACTCTTTCCCTGACTAACTCTTTCTTTGACTAACTGTTTCTTTGACTAACTCTTTCTTTGACTAACTCTGTCCCTGACATTCTAAAAGTCCGTAACACGGAAGTTTCTCCCCCTAAACTTCCTTTGGTCATCAATAGAACTGGGTGGGTGGTTTCAACACTTCGTGATTGTCCATCCTACATGAGATGATTCTCTGAAAACTTTCCAATATTGTTCAACGGGGGTTAAACCAAACGAAGCCCGGAGAGGATGATTAGGACCAGGAGAAGCAGAAAATGGGTGGTAAGCATTATTCCCAAATGGTAGGTTTATTATTGGGTTTCCCACATTACATTTTTTTCTTGTTGTGTTATGTTAGGTGTAAAAGACACCGTCCAAATTTGTGTATCTACTCAACAGTGACTTGAACCATATCCAACTGGTTTCTGCCACGATTTCAGGCACTTCAACCACGGCAATTTCAACCAGCTCAGCTACAGCCCACTGCAATGGATCAGAAGCCATGCCAGTCAGAGGATTGGAGAGAAAACAAGGCAGGCGCAGTTGCTGAGCTGAACACAAAAACATACTTACCATACTTGCCTTGTTGCCTGTTTAGGCCACTTTCAGGGACCAGGCCAGAAACTGTGAAATCCTGTCCGTCTCTGGAATATGATTGTGGCGTGCGGGTTTGATTGAAGATATTGCAAAAAAAACAAAAATGAGTTCATCATGTTTATCATCATTCCTCATTCAAATGCCCATTTTGGGTTATCCCATGTTATCCCCTATTTCTTGCACAAATCCATGTGCAGCTCTGGAATCCGAACAGCAGCCTTGTGTTTTCCCAGGCTTGGAGGACAGAATCCCTCAGGGTTTCTTGCAAAATCAACAAAGATCCTGTAAAACACCATTGCATCACCATTGAATCACCAAAAAAACGCCCCTCTCCCCCCCAGTTTGATGTTGACAGCCTGCGCTCTTCGACAGTTGGCGGCACTTCGCCAGTACTTGGAGGAGCATGGCGGGCGCGCCGAAAAGCTGGAGGGCTGGAGCGTGAAAACGGAGGCCTTTTACGGGCCATTTGCGGATCAACTCATGCGGAACGATTCGCAAGTTACAACCAGGAAACCCTCATGTCGTTGCATACAGCCGTTGCTCAAAAGGCCTGACCAACCAATTTCTATGGATCATCATCATCACCACCAGGAGAACATATTCCTGTACTGCTGTTTGTTGTTAGCAACAGCCAGACCCCAAGCATGAAATTTGTAAGACATGGTAAGATCATTTAAGCATATGCCAAGATATGCCAAGCATATGTGAGGCCTCTATCACTTATAGCCCTGGGGCTTCCCCAGGTTCGAAAGACTGGCAACTCAGCCGGACATTTGGACCTGCAACTTGGATTTCTTGGAGCTGGCTGGAAAGGTCAACCATGGGTTGCTGGACAATAACCCATTTAGTTTGTTGATGTACGTTGATTTTCCCAGCAATAAACCTTCATTTATGGAGGATTTCCCAGCCATGTTTGAGGACACAGGACTAATTTTTTTGGGACCAATGTTTGGAGTTAAACTTGGGATAGTTTTTGAAAGTTTTTGACTAGCTGATCCATGCCTGGGTCTGGCCATACCATACCCATCCATGCCCAGTGGCATCTTCTATCGAATGTGGCGGCACACACGGCAGTCTTGAATTGTATGAAGCGAACCATTTCAGTGGAACCGCTTCGTAAATGTTCTTCCGTCAATAGTCAACCCATTCGTGACTGTTACATGTGATAATATATATATATATGTGTGTGATGTTTACCAGCTGGTTCATGAGATCGTTAAATTTGAAGTCAGACCTTGGCCAGGCATATCAATCACAACCAAGCCAGGTATTGGTTCTCCAAAAGCGGCCGGCGCTTTCGCTCCATGGCAGAGGTGGCGCGACATTTCGGTCTCACTTAGGCGCCAAGTCTGAGCTGGTGATCCCAATTGGGGGTTTCCATGGGGATACCCCAACAGCTGGATGGTTTATCAGATTATCATGGAAAATCCCAAAATAACATGGATGATAACTGGGGGTACCCCCCATTTTTTAGGAAACCTCCAATTGACTGTCTGATGATAACTGGGCGCCAAGATAAAAATCATTCTAGCAGAATCCAGGCTGGACATTTGACACCGACACTGGCCAGATGTCCGACAGCGCCGGAAGTGACGTTTCCGGGCCCGGCCAAAGTCAACGCCGGGGCAGTGTGGAGATTCAGCCATAAAAGTAGATCCGAATTAATTCATATCTGCCCGCCAGAGCATGCTGTGGTGCTCAACATATGTGAAGCAGATATTCTAAACGCTAAGATGTGCTAAGCAAGTGTTGGAAGTTCCACTTCCGCTGATTCCGGTTGTTGTTTGCTCCGTTTGCTCTGCGGCATGGCACACAGCCACTACTCTAACTGCGGGGTTTAATCACTGCATTGGATCAGCTGCCTCGAAACAGCTATTCAGAGCCTGCTTAAAACGCTTGGATGGGAATAGAGGCTACAAGTTACAAGTATCAAACTGCTGAGAGTCCACGAAACTTTGCAGGGGATAGTCTTTCGATGTTTTTCCTTCTGTCTAATTCACCTGCATGCTGGTACAGACTTTGCCGTTGAAATCGGGGAAAACTTAGGTGTCGTGCAGTTTGCTGAGAATTTTTGGACCGTTCTTTATCGTTTTTCTTTCTCTGAATTCAAGATTGCACCATGCAGGAAATGTATATGCTCGTTTCGACCAGCAACACGGATGTATCAAAGATTATCCACTATCAGTTTTTGTTGGTTTCATGCAGTAGTTTGCGATGTTTTGCGTACAGTGTTACATACGAGTTTGATCATTTGGAGACCACAATAGATAGTATGGATGTGGGTCATGTCTAATGACCCAACCATGTTTTTTGATATGAGTCCTGAAACATCAAGCACTACATAGTTATTATATTATTCCAAACATTATATAGCAATACTCTTGACCTGGTCTATCAATAATTTATACATCAATAGTAACAGGCCATACTTCAATGATTCATCTGAATTAATCATCTGTGATTATATAGCACTAATAATTTAGGTACTCATAATCATCAAAAGTTATTGAATCAATAATGACTGGTTTGAATATATATATATATACGTATATATATATATATTATCACTGTTTGTCACTAATAGATACCCATAGTTTGAATAGACCAAAATCCCTACAACGAATTGGGTCAGGAGCGCCTGAAGGAGCTGAACGTATCGGTCCGGGACGCCAAAGATACGGATGGTTTGTTTCTAAGTGTACCCAAATACTTCCAAATACAATGTATAATTCCCCTACTAAACCATGGTTTCTGGGCAATGGGATTATGAATCATTATAAGTTGACAGAACTTATAAGTTGCAGATTATTAAATGATTCTTCGAAAAGAATCTAAAGAACTTTCTATTCATGATTGTAACTTAGTGACCCCACAAAAATATAGCAATGTAAAATCCGACTAAAATAGTGATAGTTTGAACCTTTTCTATCGTTTTGGGGGTTACTCGTACCACACAGACTACCTGTGTCCAATGGCCCACCTTTCCAGATCAGGCAATGACTGGGAATGTCGTCCTTCCTCACTCATCCATGTCTCGTTTGAACCAAAGCCAATGGAAAGACAGAAGTGGGGGGTGTCAAACTTCAACCTCGATTGTTCAGTGCCAGATTTTCTAGATGTTCTATGATTTTCCACTATTCATCACGCTGTCCAGCATACGGTTTCCACAAACACTGAAATTGTATTTGTATTGAGCCAGTCTGTATTTCCTTGTTGCAGCCATGGCCGGGGAACTGGTAAGCCTTGATATGGTCAGTTTGGATGGACAGAGGTGGACACTTGATGTGGCCACTTCCATGACTGGCCGTCAGCTGCTTAAGGTGATTCATGAAAGGCTTTCCAGAGATTCACGGGTCTCAGTTCAACATGGATCGAAAGCACTCTGCTTGCACCAGACCTTGATGCAGCAAGGAATCATTGGATGTTGCACCTTGTCCTATTTGTTTCTTCCGGTAAACCTCTGTGCAGCCTGGAAGTATCTGCAGGGAAAGCAGGTGGAGGATGAAGAGTTCTCGCTGCATGGAGTGCAGCAGATTGAAGGAGTTAGATCAGGGTACCAGTTTTTCGAGCTGCCCAGCACCCTTCTACACCTGAGTTTCAGTGGCAGGTTCAATGAGAGCTTAAATGATGTGATTTTTCCAACTGGCTTGCAAGGCTTGAGTTTGGGTCGTGGTTTCAACCAAAGCTTGGATGCAGTGAATTTACCACCAGGTCTTCGAAGTTTGACTTTTGGATCCAGCTTCAACCAAAGCTTTGAGGCAGTGAATTTACCACCAGGTCTTCGAAATTTGACTTTTGGATACAGCTTCAACCAAAGCTTTGAGGCAGTGAATTTACCGAATGGTCTTGAGAGTTTGGCTTTCGGACACAGTTTCAATCAAAGCTTAGATGCAGTGACTTTACCAACAGGTCTCCACAGTTTGACTTTCGGGGGCGACTTTAACCAAAACTTGGATGGCCTGACTTTGCCTTCAGGTCTCCGAAGTGTGGTTTTTGGAAGTAGCTTCACCAGGGTGAATCTACCAGCAGGTCTCCAAAGTTTGACTCTCGGACAACATTTTGACCAAAGCATGGACGGCGTGACTTTGCCATCAGGTCTCAAAAGTTTGACTTTCGGAGACAAATTTAACCAAAGCATGGACGGCGTGACTTTGCCATCAGGCCTCAAAAGTTTGACTTTCGGAGGCAAATTTAACCAAAGCATGGATGGCATGACTTTGCCATCAGGTCTCCAAAGTATGGTTTTTGGATATAGTTTCAAGCAGAGCTTAGCCGCCTCAACTTTGCCAGTAGGTTTGAAGTCCTTGACTCTTCATGGCAACCACAACTGCCGGGTATTGAAAGATGTCACTCTGCCAGCTGGTTTGCAGACTTTGGCTTTGTTGGGCACCTTTAAGCAGAGATTGAATGATATCATTTTGCCAGCGTGCTTGCAAAGCTTGGAGGTAGGCGGGCTTCTGGATGGCTTAACCTTGCCAGAAGATCTTCAAAGCTTGGAGTTTGGGAGCAAGTTTGATCCATCTGACCCTGGCCGCGGCAATTTGAATCTGAACTACAACATGGATGGGTTGACTCTGCCTGTCGGTTTGAAAAGTCTGACGTGTGCCATCATGTTTAAGCAGAGATTGGATGACTTGCCTTTGCCAGCAGGTCTCCAAAGTTTGACATTTGGCATGGTCTTAACCCCAAGCTTGGATAGCTTGACCTTGCCAACAGGTCTTCAAAGCTTGGCTTTTCTCCTTTTGGCTGACCAGAGGTTAGATACAGGGATATTACCGGCAGGTCTCCAAAGCTTGAGTTTTGCAGGCAGCTTGAAGCCGAGCTTGGATGCCGTGTGTTTGCCGGCAGGTTTGAAATCCTTGTCTCTTGGCCGGAATCTTGACCAGAGCTTAGATTTCTTGAAATTGCCAACAGGTCTCGAAAGCTTGAACTTTGGTGATAGCTTCAATCAGAGCTTGGAAGGCCTTGATTTGCCAACTGGTTTACAAGACTTGAATTTTGGCGATCATTTCAACCAAAGTTTGGATGCAGTGAGTTTGCCAGCTGGGTTGAGAACCTTGACTTTTGGCCACAGTTTCAACCAGATGTTCGACAGTCTGAATTTGCCAGGAGGACTGCGGCAGTTGCGTTGTGAAGATTTGTTTGTTACGCATGGTCAGCATGATGACAATCCCTGAGCCGGCAGATCCAGAGAGAACAAACGTTGCGAACAGTGTTGGAAGTAACGTTGACTCAGGATTGATATGGAGATGGATCAAAAATGATCAACACATATATTATAGTTCATTACTGTTTAATGTTCCTTAGGGGGATGAACATCCATAATTTTCCAACGATCTTTCTGTTCACCAGGGGTACAGGGTTTTGACCCATACCAACATAGATCAATAATATTATAACCCCCTGGTTTCCGTTTCATCGATGACCCAACACCCCCGCGAGATCTGTCTTCCACGATTAGTGTGCTTTCGAACAGCCAGTTTCCTTGGGGGTTCTTAGGAGGCAACGGAGATATTATCATGAAACATTCCTGATGACACGCGTAATAATAATCAACCTCACAAATTTGCCGTGATCAAAACTGCCTTTCGATGCATCCACTTCAAATAATGATAGAACTTGATCCAATCAGAGGGAGTCATACCCCCATCTGAAAGGATCATCGTTTGTCCGATGTCCTCAGGGGGTACTGATCATTGATCCACATCTGGCGTCCCAAAAATTGGAGACGGCGATCGTTCACAGGATTTTATACCTCCAGGTCCGGCAGGGTTTTGCTTCGCAGCGTTGCCATTTTGGCCCGATGTCCTGTTTGCGGCCGCATTTGCTGAACATTTCCCGGCGATGGTGGGATTTGGCACAGGCGCGATTCTTGTCGGTGCCATGTCCGCAGGGCCCCAGATGCCTCATTGGTTCCTACAGAGCAACCAGTGAGTTGTAACATGTCATAACTACCATACTCAATCCATCTCAATCCTTAGTCATGGTGGTTTTTCAATGGTATAACTACCCCGGTTGCAATGGGATGCAAGCGGGGTCGGACAGTGGATGCACTTTGGGACACAGTTTGACCTATTGCCAGTTTGAATCTTTGCAAACTCTCAGAGATGTTGGCTAAAAGGATCATGATATCATCCAAGGAAGTGGTTTTCCAGTGGTACAATCATGTATTGTGTGTGATGTTTGTTAACGGAAGTTACACAATCACTCCATGTTACTCCCATAATTGGTTGTACCAACTTCAAGGAGAGGATCCATAAGATGATCCAAGTCTGTTCCCAGCGCCTCGTGCCTCAGATTTTCATAGCTCTGCACTGAGGATTTAGGAGAAGCTATCAAAGAAACTCCGCCAAATTTGATCT